GAGAGAGAGAGAGAGAGAGAGAGAGAGAGAGAGAGAGAGAGAGAGAGAGAGAGAGAGAGAGAGAGTAAAGGGGAGGGAAAGGGAGAGAGAGAGAGAGAAAGAAAGAGAAAGGGAAATGTTAAGAAAAGGCATTGATGAAAACAACACTCAGACAAAAAGCACAGAGAAAAGAAAAGAAAAGAAAAATCTAACATACCACATACCTTAACGAAACGGAAACCAACCAAGCATACCACCTACCTCAATAAGTAGCATACCACATACCACATAACCCCTCCCCCTCCACCCAAACCCCACCCCCCCCAAAAAAAAATCCAGCTACCCTAACCTCACTCCCGACACAAAATTCCCCCAAATGTGACCTTACTTTTCCTCCGACAGTTGACCCCGAGGCGAAAGTGACGTCAGACGACCAGGCGCGGTCACTCCTCAACCGGTTCCTCGGCGCACAGGTCCTCATGTCAGGAGTGGAGTCCATGATGGCCTCCTCGTCCATCTCCGAGTCATCCAAGTGAGTCACGTGTCATGGGTCATGAGTCATGTCCCAGGAAAAGTGCATCTCTGTTTTTTTCTTTTCTTTTTTCTTTTTTTAAGAGGTTTTAAAATGTAGGATGTCTTGTGAATATTATTTGCTAAAATTAATATCACATGATAATTTATCTTATTTATATGAATATACTTTCCTGATACGAGTGTACGTTACTTTTAAGAATATATTTTATTTATTACCCATTAGTTTAAAAGCATATTAAGTATATGACAGTATCATTTAAAAACGTATATATCGCTTATAAATATACCTTCCCTTACAAGAATATATATATCATTATATCAAAATGCATGTATCGCAGACGAAAACATATCACCTATAACACCTTATATTCACTTCTATTTTTAGAAATTTGAACTCATTGTATCAGTTACCTTATACCTTATATTCACCTGTGCATGATTCTCTCGTTTCTGATTTAAGCTTCACTCAAACAGTTCTTTTTAAAGCTTAGTCGTCTTTGTTTGTGTTAAGTTTCTTTTATTTTCTTTTTTTTCTATTGTTCTTGTTTTTTTTAAGTGACGTGTGTGTTTCTGAGAGTGTTTGTTTGTTTGTTTTGTCTTGGTTCTTTGTTTTCCTTTGTTTACTCTTGTTCTCTTTGTTTCGATGTTTGTTTTTCTTCTTTCTTTTTTTTGTTGTTTTTCTCTCATTTTGTCGTCGTTTTTTTCTGATGATTCTATTTTCTCTTTGTATCTTCCCTTTCTTACGTACATGTCTTGATGTTTGATCTCTCTCTCTCTCTCTCTCTCTCTCTCTCTCTCTCTCTCTCTCTCTCTCTCTCTCTCTCTCTCTCTCTCTCTCTCTCTCTCTCTCTCTCTCTTTCTCTCTCTCTCTCTTTCTCTCTCTCTCTCTTTCTCTCTCTCTCTCTTTCTCTCTCTCTCTCTTCTCTCTCTCTCTCTCTCTCTCTCTCTCTCTCTCTCTCTCTCTCTCTCTCTCTCTCTCTCTCTCCTCTCTCCTCTCTCTCTCCTCTCTCTCTCCCTCCCTCTCTCTCCCTCTCTCTCCCCCTTTCCCTCCCCTCTTTCCTCACCTCTTCCGTCTCCCCTATCCTTCCCTTTTCCTCCCCTCCCCCCTCTTTTCTAACTCCCCCAGCCTCCCCTTCTCCCTCTTCCCTCTTTCCTCACTCCCCCAACCCTCCCTTCCCCCTCCTCCCTCCTTCCCCCAACCTCCCTTTCTCCTTCTTTCCTCTTTCCTCACTCCCCTCTTCCTTCCCCCCCTTTTCTCCTCACTCCCTTCTCCTCCCCTCTTCCTACCCCTCCCCCCTCTTTCCTCACTCCCCCAGCCTCCCTTCCACCTCCACCATCCCCCAACCTCCCTTTCTCCTTTTTCCCTCTTTCCTCACTCCCCTCTTTCCTTCCCCTCTCCCCTCCCCCCCTCTTTCCTTCCCCTCTCCCTCCCCCCGCGTGTCCGTCTGGTTGCGGTTTATTTGTTTACGCAAGCCACAAGTCTCAAGACCTTGGCATCCCCTGTTCCTCTTTCTCTCTCTCTCTCTCTCTCTCTCTCTCTCTCTCTCTCTCTCTCTCTCTCTCTCTCTCTCTCTCTCTCTCTCTCTCTCTCTCTCTTCTCTCTCTTCTCTCTCTCTCTTCCCTCTCTCTCTCTCTCTCTCTCTCTCTCGCTCTCTCTCTCTCTCTCTCTCTCTCTCTCTCTCTCTCTCTCTCTCTCTCTCTCTCTCTCTCTCTCTCTCTCTCTCTCTCTCTCTCTCTCTTAACCGCAACTGACCTATTCCTTTCCTTTTGCAAAATCGTGCGGGTGTTGATGGATCTCGGGGGGGGGGGGGGTGTTGAGCTTTTGTTTATTTGTTTTGTTTGAGCTGTTTGTTTGTTCTTTGTTTGTTTGTTTGTGTGTATGGTGGGTGTGGGAAGGGGTGGGTGAGTGCGTATGTGTTTTTTTTTTTTTTTTTTTTTTTGGGGGGGGGGAGAGGGTTGCGTCTTGTTTTGTGTGTTTGTGTTTAATATAATTTTGTTTGTTTGTATAGAATTATTTATTTCACATATAAACATACGTACACATTTATTAATAAAAATATATACTTTCTCTATGAATTAACGAACTAACACAAATATGAATATACACACGCGCATTCACAGACAAACAAACATACAAACAAACAAACGAATGCCTATACTCACCCCCCCCACACATCCTGCACACTGACCCCCCCCTCAAGTAGGTCTGCTCTACTTTCCCCATACTTCTCATTGCTTCGTTCTTGTTCATTCCTCTTCGCTCACTTTTTTCGCTGACGTATAGAGGAGATTGATAAGGAAAATAAGGTGAATATAGAAAAGAAGGTAAATGCAGGAAAATAACGTAAAAGCAGAAAATAAGGTAAATGCAGGAGGTAATTATAGATAAGAAGGAAAATGCAGAAAGGAAGGTAAATACAAAAAAGGGGGAATGCAGAAGGAGATAAATACAGAAGGAAAGGGAATGTGACCGCCCTCCCCCTCACTCCCGCAGGATGACGACGGACAGCAGCGGCGCCACGACCGTCACGAAGGAGGCCAGCGGTCAAAGCTCGAGCACGGCAGCCAAGGACGGTGTCGTAACGGACCACAAGAGCTCCTCCTTCAACACAGGCCCTCAGACCACCACTGTCTCCGGTTCAGCCTTGGCCTCGCGCAAGGTAGGTGTCTGGGCGTCTCCTCTGGCGGGCTGTGTCACTGGGTTTTCCTGACGGTGGTTGTGATTCCATGTTCCCGCGTCGTCAGCCAGCTTGTTCTGTAGACGACGCTGATCGGGGAGGCTGTGTTCTGTTTTTTTTTCTCTTTTTTCAGGTTTTTAGATTCTGGGTGTTGATTATTTTTTATGATACGTCATTTTGCATGTTATCTCTTGTCTGTTTCATCTTTTTGATCTATGTCGACGAAGGAAAGTTGCATGATGTAATTATAGAAGAAAAAAATAAAAAAACACTAACGTCACACAGATTCCCAACGCGTGTTCATTTTTCATCGGGTGATTAATCTCCCAAAAGAAACGCGGCTTCCACCTCACTGTTGCCGACTGCCAGGCCAAACAGCCTTCAGAGACAGAAAAAAAGGAGACGGAGAGGAAATGAAATGAATGAGATTCACCGACAGCGAAAAATGGACGGAGATTGGCCCGAATTAAGATGCCATTTATTAAAACAAATGTCGCGCTGATAGGTTGATTCGCTTTTATAACGAGACGCGGACATGTGAGCGAGGTTCCGGAGTGTAGAAGTAATCTCTTGATAAGATTTCTGACATGTTATAGACGGTTTTATGGGTGCTGTGAGCCATTCGAGCGTATGGCCATATGTCACCTGCAAGAGAAGAGGGAGAGGCGCTCACATACAAACAATGTGTGTGTGCGTGTGCGTGTGCGTGTGTGTGTTTGTGTGTGTGTGTGCGTGTGCGTGTTTGAAAGAGAGAGAGAGAGAGAGAGAGAGAGAGAGAGAGAGAGAGAGAGAGAGAGAGAGAGAGAGAGAGAGAGAAGGGAATATAGAGAGAAAGAGGGCGAAAGGAAAAAGAAGAGAAAGATAGAGAAGAGAAGAGAAAAGAAAAAAACAATGAACTAAATGAGTAATTGAATAAAGAGTAAAGATGGAGCAAAGGCTTTAAAAAAATAATAATAATAAAAATCCCACGTAGACTGAAAGAGAAGTAAATCCGAAATTTCCCTTTACACCCCCCAGTGACGTCACGAATGGCGCTCGGCGAACCAGCGCTCGAAAACGACCTGTGACTCGTATTCTCCACCCCCCCCCCCTTTGCTTAAAAGACCAGACATTAATGGAGCGAGTCATGGGCGCAAATACGGAGACTTTAAGTCGTGTCATGGCGCGTGACAGATGTGCCCTGGGGGTGTTACATCAGCGAGTGTGTGTGTGTGTGTGTGTGTGTGTGTGTGTGTGTGTGTGTGTGTGTGTGTGTGTGTGTGTGTGTGTGTGTGTGTGTGTGGTGTGTGTGTATGTGTGTGTGTGTGTGTGTGTGTGTGTGTGAAAGAGAGAGAGACACACACAGACACAGATAGATAGACAGACATACAGACAGTCACAAACACGGGCAGACACAGTCACAGAGCATATGTATGTACGTACGTGCGCACGCGTGTGATACCTCGGAGTAGCGAATTGACCATCTGCCGCACCATCTGGCATCGCCCGTGAATCAGGCGCAGTCATGTGACGTCCGCGCCAGTCAGAGATGTCACAAATTCCAGCAGAGTGATCATGAGAAGATTCCCATGTTATTGCTTTCCAAGAGAGAGAGGGAGGGAAGGAGGGAGGCATATATATATATGTATGTATATATGTATATATGTGTGTGTGTGTGTGTGCGTGTGCGTGTGCGTTTGTGTGTGTGTGTGTGTGTGAGAGAGAGAGAGAGAGATAAAGAGAAAGAGAGAGAGAGAGAGAGAGAGATAAAGAGAAAGAGAGAGAGAGAGAGAGAGAGAGAGAGAGAGAGAGAGAGAGAGAGAGAGAGAGAGAGAAGGACGAGAGAGGGAACGCTCCTCACCATCATCATCATCATCTTCACCACCACTATCAACACCATCGTCAAAATACGACGTTTTTTTTTTCTCTCTCTCTATTTCCGTTCTCATTTACCTTGCAGCGGGACTAATCCGGTTTTGTTGACTGATAGAAACCTCACAAAAATTAATCGCCTTACAAACTCGTGTGTGTGTGAGTGTTTGTTTGTTTATGTTTAGGGGGCCTTGTGTGTGTGTGTATATGCGTGTTTGTTTGTTTATATTTAGGGGGCCTTATATGTGCGTGTATGTGCGTGTTCGTTTGTTTGTTGTTTGTGTGTTTATCTATTTGTTTGTGTATGTGTATGTTCGTTCTTGTGTGTTTGTATTTCGTGTGTAGTTGTTTGCATTTAAAAGTATAATATTATTAATTTGCTCGAGGAAGAGAGGGATGTAAGCTAGGGGGGGTACCTACGCTAAGAACCCCCCTCCCCCCTCTGGAAGGACTAAATTTAGGCCGCCATTCATAGTGAGATAGGCCTTATTAACAGTCTGCTGGTTGGCACTATCTTGTTTCAAACACGACCGACGGCTTCCTCCTTCCTTAACCCCTCCTACCCCCCCCTCCTCTCCCCCCCGTTCCTTCGTTACCCTCCTCCCTCTCCCTCCTCCCTCCCCCTCTCCCTCCTCCCTTCCTCCCTCTCCCTCTCTCTGTCTTTCCTCTTCTCCTATTCCCTCACTCCCCCCTTTCCCCTCCCAACCCCACCCCACCCCTCCCCCCCTTTCCCCTAATCCTTTCTCGTGTGACTTCTAATGTTCTCTTGCTATTTATAGGCCTATGCCCTTTAACAGACCTTACTTCCTCTGTCCCGCGTGCTTGTGTGTGTGTGTGTGTGTTTATGTGTAAATATGTCTGTGTGTGTGATTGTCATTCTATCTGTATGTCTGTGTGTGTGTGTGTGTGTTTATGTGTAAATTGTCTGTGTCTGGTTGTCTTTCTCTCTGTATGTTTGCGTGTGTTTGTTTGTCTGTGTGTGTGTGTGTGTGTGTGTGGTGTATGTACATCAATGTGCGTCTTCTTGTCCCTCGCTTTCTGTCTGTTTGTCTGTCTATCTGTCAGTGTCTGTCACTTTGATCTGTATCCAACGTATCTCGCCCATATCATTCGCCGTCACACGCCCACGAGCTCCCTCCTCGGGCGTGCAAGCAGCTATAGTCATCCATCGGCTGCACAGAAACGTCTATAGAACCTTTTCCAAAACAGCTGTAATAAGATCCATATTTTTTTTAAAGTCGGGTCGTATTATTGACTGGGTTGCGCGTGCGGTTGGGCTGTTGCATAATGCTTCTCTGTCTTATTCATTGTTGTAGGTCATTAAGTAATTATTTTTTTACCTCTTCTTTAAAAAGAGTCGCCAGTTTATGTATCAAATATATATATGTGTGTGTGTGTGCGTGTGTGTGTGTAATAATAATGATAATGATAATAATAATAAATCTATTACACAAACCGGAAAATTCGTGTCGAGGTCCAAGTCAATTCTCGACGGCGCTCTCGGCAAGTTTTGGTCTCGTCTAGGTGGAACTTGCCTTCTGACTGCCAAAGTTTTTTTCCCCCTCTACCTTTTCTTTTTCTTTGCTGTTCGCAGTATCCCTTTCTTTTCTTATTTTCTCTATTTTATTTCTTATTCAATTTATTTTATTTCTCACTTCTCTTTCGTGTTCTCCTTCTTTTATTTCTATTTCTGTCTCTTCTTTTATCTCTTCATCTTTTTCTTCTCATTTTATATTTCTTCTCATTCTTCCTCCTTATCTTTCATTTCCATATCCTTTTCTTCCTTTCTGTTTTCTTGTTATTCCTAGCCATCGCCTTCCCATCCCCCATAATTATTATATTTCGACTAGAAATAGTTTGATGGAGTGATGTACGTGTCACAAATCATCGGTTTAGTCATCCTGTCCGCGGATCTAAGGGGCGTCGAGCTGCTAAGGGGCGCCGATTAGGAGTGTGAGGTCAGTGGCGACTAATGGACGAGCGCCAAGGGGGAGCCAGCAGGGGACAGACACGGAAGCGGGGGTTGAGCTCAGCTAAAGCGACGTGTGTTTTCCGTCCCCCCCCTTATCGCGCGGTGTGCATGTTCAGGGCCTCGTCGGGACTGATAAGGGACGAAGGGGGGGGTAATGGAGGGGTCGGGTGGAGGCGGTGTGGGCATCGCGGGCACGTGCGGCGGGCGGCGGCGGCGTGCTGAGGGCCTATTTATATCCCGCCCAGCACATTCCCGCTCGGCCATCCCATCTTCCATACCCAAGCTTATAACCAGCTTTTCATAACTGTCCTTGAGTAGAGACCTAGAGACGTGGGCGTGGGTGGACGGGGAGGTGGGCTGGTGGGGGCACGGGCCAGGTGATGGGCGTACAGGCGTGATATGGGTCTGGTGGGCAGGGGCGCAGGGCAGGCCGAGAGAGAGTCCGGGCAGTCAACGCTAGGCCAGTGCTGGGGACACACACGCGCTCGCCGCCGTCCCATCTCGCCTCTGAACGCCGCAGCCAAGCCGAGGTCGCGCCGGCGTGGCTTCGACCCGTCGCCCTCAGGAACCACCGCCACCAGGAACTATCAGCCGCGGCAGGAGGTCCCCGACCGCCGCGCTCCCGCCCCTCGAGGCTACCCCGCCACGGCACACAGGTCGGTTCCTTGCTCGCCCTTTGGAGTCGAAGTCGTGGCGCGTCCCCGCAGCGGCGCTCGTGTGGAAGGGGATTCTAGTTCACAAGGAAGACGTCCTGGTGCGTCCCTTGGCACCATGGCTGCTCCCACACCTGGCTGCACTCGCCCTGCTCTCGCACTTCGCCGCCAGCGCCGCGGGGCCTCTGCCTCTCGACCAATACACATGGCCCTCGACTGCGAGTGGAGCCCGACACTTTGTCACGCCCACAGTCTCACACACACATGGCCGCCCACATACGCCACCACAAGCCGTGGCCGACACCTTGATGAACACCTGATGCCCCCACCCCCCTCTCGCCCCAACGCCAACACCTGACTCACATATCAAGTATAATCGACGAAGTACTTTCTGTACCAAATACATCCATTTTACATTCCTCGATGTCCTCTTGCCACCCGAACTGCTGCTCCCGATGTTTTTGTCTTCCTCCGCAGCTGCTCCGGCAAGTAAAAGTGTACAACAG